AAACGTGAAAGTTGTGGGGGCATCCCTTTCGCTTTCTCTCTTCTGGGGAAATTCCCAATTGCAGGGGGCTCTCTCTCCTTGTCTGTCTTCTTTTCTCATACATAGGGAAAGGAGAAAGAAGATGAAGAACTAGGAAAGAATCATTTCCACACATTCCTCTATTCCTACTGTCCGGAGATTGGCAAGCTTTCGGAAGCTCTGGTCTCTAGTCACGCCTGACCAAAGTCAACTTCCCGTGCGTGAGGGCCATATGTGAGGGGCCAGGAGGGGGGCAGAAAGTCCGGAATATGGTAGTGTTTCGAGTTTCAAAATCGTTTCCATAGTTTCAAATTAGTCTCAAGTCAGTTTCAAACTAGTTTCAAAATCCAGTTGAAATATCGCTGTTAAGGAGGAGCTGCAATTTCTGTCCGCGCTTGTTGAAAACCAGAACCTCTAGAGATTCCTGCATTTTTTGCAATTGCGCGTAGAAAAACGCAGTTTCCCCTTAACAACGAATTCGCAACTGGATTTTGAAACTGTTTTGCAACTAGTCTGAAACTACAGAAACGAATTTGAAACTTGAAGAACGCAGCATTTCTGCTCCCTGGCGCTTGGCCACGCCCAAGCAAGAGGAGGCTAGAAGCCGCGGCTCGCGAAACCAGCAACAACTCTTGCCAAGGCAGCCACGCAATCACAAGTCAGTAAATTATCTTGTCTGAGACTGTGTCTCTTCTGAGTTGTTCTATTCCTTTCTCTGCATCCTTTCTTCTTCTCACTTGTCCTTTCACTTTTCTTTTGTCTCTTCTCACTCCAACCAAAAGGGAAATCGCAAGGGAGTCATATAGGGAAAGGAGACAACGTGAAGAAATAAGAAAGAATCATTTCCATATTGTCCCCTATTCCTGTCTCTAAATCTGCAGATTTTTCAGAATGGAAGGAGGGCTTCTTTCTCCCTCTCACTTTTCCTTTCGCTTTTTTTTATATTTTCTCACTCCAACCAAGAAGACAAGGGAGAGGGGTGAGAGATAGAACGCCCTTTACCTTCTCAAAACATAGAGAGGTGACGAAAATCAATCACGGAAACCTATCCTGCCTTCCTTCCTCTTTGTCTTTGGTTCGGAAAAGAAAGGAACGGCTACCAGCCTCCCTCCCGACTTACATCTTACATTCTCTTGTTTCGTCCTGCTCAACCGGAAAGAAGGTCTGCCTCCAGTCTTTCCTCGCCTCCCTGCTCACTATTATGAGTTCCTTTCTCTTCTCTTCTGTTGCTTACATTCTTCTCAAAAGTGTGAAAGGTGCGGGGGACATCCCTTTCACTTTGTCTCTTCTGGGGAAATTCCCAATTGCAGGAGGCTCTCTCTCCTTGTCTTTGTTCTGTGTTCATATAGGGAAAGAAGAAAGAAGATGAATGAATAAGAAAGAATCATGTCTATAATGTCCTCTATCCGTGTCTCTTGTGATTTCTTCAATTCCTATCTCTGCAGATTCTTCAAAATGGAAGGCGGACTTCTTCCTCCAACCAAAAGCGACCTTCTCAAAAAGAAGACAAGAGACGAACATCAATCACCGGAACCTGACTCCTAATCTCATGTGTTTCCTTGCCTCTTTCCTCGCTATTCTCTCTTCCTTTCTTCTCTCCTGGTGCTTACATTCTTATCAACATGAAAATTGAGGGGGCAGTGCATCCCTTTCCTTTTCCCCATCAAAGAAAGGCTGCCTTCCTATCCGCGTATGTTCTTCCCTCTTGCTTCCCAAAAAGACTATAAGAGGTAGGGATAAACAGAATGAAAGAGGAGTCTCCTGTTGCTTTCCGACTACCTTCTCACCACAAAAAGGAACCTTCCAACTCTTCCCTACTTTCTTTCTTTTATCTTTTTGCACTTTACGTTTCCCGCTGAGAAAATGAGACGTTTCCCACTGAGAAAAAGAGACAATGATGACAATAAGGAAAAAAGATCACCTGCCTGTATTTTCAGACCTGTCCGCTGCATCTTTCCCTTTACATCGCAGATTGAAGGAAAGCAAAAAAGTCAGAGGGAAGAATCCCTTTCCCTACCTTTCCCAGTACATTCCTTGTGCTTTCCATGTTCTTTGGAATTGCTTTGTTCTTCAGCAAGGAAAAGCGCAACTTCCCTCTCAATTTCATGTTTCCATTTCTCCGATGTCTTTTTCATTCAAGAAGCAAGCGGAGGGGCTGCCTCCTGTGTTTCCTTGCCTCTTTCCTCGCTATTCTCTTTTCCTTTCTCTTCTCTTTTGGTGCTTACATTCTTCTCAAAAACGTGAAAGTTGCGGGGGCATCCCTTTCGCTTTCTCTTCTGGGGAAATTCCTAATTGCAGGGGGCTCTCTCCTTGTCTGTCTTCTTTTCTCATACATAGGGAAAGGAGAAAGAAGATGAAGAACTAGGAAAGAATCATTTCCACACATTCCTCTATTCCTACTGTCCGGAGATTGGCAAGCTTTCGGAAGCTCTGGTCTCTAGTCACGCCTGACCAAAGTCAACTTCCCGTGCGTGAGGGCCATATGTGAGGGGCCAGGAGGGGGGCAGAAAGTCCGGAATATGGTAGTGTTTCGAGTTTCAAAATCGTTTCCATAGTTTCAAATTAGTCTCAAGTCAGTTTCAAACTAGTTTCAAAATCCAGTTGAAATATCGCTGTTAAGGAGGAGCTGCAATTTCTGTCCGCGCTTGTTGAAAACCAGAACTTCTGCATGTTTTGCAATTGCGCGTAGAAAAACGCAGTTTCCCCTTAACAACGATTTTGCAACTGGATTTTGAAACTATTTTGCAACTAGTCTGAAACTACAGAAACGAATTTGAAACTTGAAAAACGCAGCATTTCTGCTCCCTGGCGCTTGGCCACGCCCAAGCAAGAGGAGGCCAGAAGCTGCGGCTCGCGAAACACGCCTGGATCGAAAAGTGCACCTCCGACTTTCTTCCCAAAAGCCATTCCAGCAACAACTCTTGCCAAGGCAGCCACGCAATCACAAGTCAGCAAATTATCTTGTCTGAGACTGTGTCTCTTCTGAGTTTTTCTATTCCTATCTCTGCGTCCTTTCTCCTTCTCACTTTTCCTTTCACTTTTCTTTTGTCTCTTCTCACTCCAACCAAAAGGGAAATCGCAAGGGAGTCATATAGGGAAAGGAGACAACGTGAAGAAATAAGAAAGAATCATTTCCATATTGTCCCCTATTCCTGTCTCTAAATCTGTAGATTTTTCAGAATGGAAGGAGGGCTTCTTTCTCCCTCTCACTTTTCCTTTCGCTTTTCTTTATATTTTCTCACTCCAACCAAAAAGACAAGGGAGAGAGGTGGGAGATATAAAGCCCTTTACCTTCCCAAAACAGAGAAAAGTGACGAGAATCAATCAGGGAAACCTGGCTCCTAATCTCCTCGGTTTCCGCTCTTTCCTCGTTATTCTCTCTTCCTTTCTTCTCTGCTGGCGCTTGCATTCTTATCAAAATATGAAAGTTGCGGGGGCATCCCTTTCACTTTCTCCCTTCTACGGGCACTTCACTCCTTTTTTCCCACTATCTTCTTCGATCTTCCTTCCGAAAAAATTCGAAAAGGAAGCGATAGACCAGGGTGAAGGAGCAGTTTCCATCTTCGTTCCCGGCACCTTCTTATTCGTTCTTCTCTCTTATTATCTCTTTGTTTCTTTTCTTCCGCCCAAAACAGGAATTGCCGCAGGGCTCTCTCTCCTAATCTTTCTTCTTTACTCATATGGGAATGATAAAGAAGAAGAAATGAGAAAGAATCATGAGCTCTTCTTTTCGTATCTCTTCAGCATTTTCAGCATGGAAGGCGGGCCAGAGGCGAGAGAGTGCAAAGGGAAGAGACGCGAGAGATCAATGGGGACAAGCGAAGGGACGTGCGGGGAAAGGAGGGACAGCCCGGTCGAGACAAGCTCCCGAGAACCTGCGTGCAGGCAGGTGATCTTTCTTCACTTATCTTCATCATTGTCTCATTTTCTTAGTGGGAAACGTAGAATGCAAACAAGATAAAAGAAAGTCAAGGGAAGAAAGAGAAGGGTTCCTTTTTGTGGTGAGAAGGTAGTCGGAAAGCAAAAGGAGACTCCTCTTTCATTCTGTTTATCCCTGCCTCTTATAGTCTTTTTCGGAAGGAAGAGAAAAGAAAATATGCGGATAGGAAGGGAGCCTTTCTTCGATGGGAAAAGTGAAAGAAATGCCCCCGCACCTGTCACACAAAGCAACAGAAGAGAAAAGAAAGGAAGTTATAACAGTGCAGAAGGAGGCGAGGAAACACTAGAGGCCGCCCTTCTTCTGTCCGTTTGAGCGTGACGAAACAAAAGAAATGGAAAGATGAAAGTCGGGAGGGGGGCTGGTAGCTGTTCCTTTCTTTTCCGAACCAGGATTCCAGGATAGCGAAGGAAATAGTAGGGAAAGGCCCTCTTTCTTCTTTCGTGTTTATTTATGTCTGCACTGTGCAAAGAAAAGAAGGCGGGGACAGGCCGTTTAGAAATGAAAGCAGGCGATCTTTTCATCCATTTTGGTCACCTTTCTATTTATTGACCCTTGTCTTCTCCCTTCTGCTTGGAGTGAGAAAAGAAAAGTGAAAGGAAAAGTGAGAGGGAAAATGAAGCCCTCCTTCCATTCTGAAAAATCAGCAGAGATAGGAATAGAAGAACTCCGAAGATAGGAACACAGGAACGTCTGCACATGATTCTTTCTTTTTCCTCCTTTTCTTTCTAGATTCTGGGTTTAGGAGTTAGAGTTTAGGAAATACGGTATAGAGTTTCTTGTGTAGGGTTTTAGAGTGTACGAATTTGTGGTCAGGGTTCCGGGCTTAGGGTCTGAGATTGCAAGAGCCAAAACATTTATCAGTCCGAAATGAGTTGTCTAAGTGCGCATATGCGTGAGACGTTGTTGGAGAAGTAGCTGGGTTGTCTTGGATATGCTAAAATTGATTAATAATCCCAGGCGGTAGCTTCTAAATAGACCCTATTTTGCTCAGCCACCCCCCCCCCCCCCCCCACCCCCACTCCCACGGATCCTGCTCCAAAAGGCCGCCAGGAGGAGGCCTGGCTCTCCTTGGGGCGGAGCACCGACGGCGAGGCGCCGCTCCCACGTGACATGCGCTTTCAAGAGGGTTCAGGGGTTTTGGGTTTAGGGCTCAGGGCTTCGGGTTTCGGGTTTAGGGTTTCGGGTTTAGGGTTTAGGGCTTCGGGTTTAGGGTTTAGGGCTTAGGGCAAGGGTGCTTGAGGGCAAAAGGGTTTTCGTCACAGGTGGTTTTGGCTTTACGCTTTTGACAGCTCTGTCGCGTGTTCAAAAGTCTGCTTGCACATGCGTTCAGAACTTTCAAGGGCTTGTTTGGTTTGAAAGATCGTTTCCTGGGTGCTGCCGTGTTTAGGGCCGTGCGGTTTCGGGGTTGCGGGGGTGTGGACACTGGGGGTTGAAGGCAGCTTCAGGGTTTAGACTTTGGAGTTTGGTGGGTTTTCAGACTTGCATGAGAGCCCTGAACCGTCAACTCCTGTAAACCTATCCCAGACGCGCTTGCCGATGCCTCCAAAAAATGTGAACTTCATGATGATGTGCGGGAATGTGGTGTTTCTACATTGAGGTCTGTTCTGATCGGTTCTGCTGGAAGGCATGCACCTAAACCCTAAACCTGTTTTAAGCCTTAGCTCGATGGTGCACATGTGCAGTTCATCTTCGAACAAAATCCCGGGTCTCCCATGAGTTTCCCATCCAAGACCATGCAATATCAAGCTTCCAGAATGGTAGCAAGCTCCCCCAAGCTAAGGTTTAGTTAGGGTTAGGGTTCAGGGTTTATGGTTTAGGGTTTAGGGTTTAGGATTTAGGGTCTCGGATTTAGGGCTTAGGGTCCAGGGGATTTGTTGTAAGTAGGTTACCTATCAGATTCCTGTACAGGGCTTTCCGAGAATAAGCAGTCGTTTCCATCTCTTTCGTGTACATCAACTCATCAACCAAAAAACTCCAGCGGAGACGCGGCCCCAGACCCCCACTAGCTGAGGCTGCTTGAGGGTAGTGTCGTGCTTGATTCGGGGTGGATCCGTGTCGAGCATGTCCTTGCTTATCAGGAGGGACCCATTTCCGCCATACCTTGAACCATGAGCTTTTCAGTTCTCTGGCTGTTTCAGGCCTTCAGCACGGTTCGCGTACCAGCGGCAGGCACGGACACACCCCGAAAGTCGATAGGACACCTGGCGGGCGGCTAGATCTCCGAAGCCCTACTGCCCCAAAACCCTGAAACCCCGATCTTGGGTTTAATGTTTAGGTTTAAGGGTTTTGTTGGGTTGAGGGTTCCCAAAATCCGAAGCCCCAGTACGCTCTCAATGTAATTAAACAGAGAAACACGGAAACAGGTACCCCAAACCCCACCCTACGGGTCCATGAACCTCAATAGGAAAGTACTTGGGCCTTCAAGTACTTGCTATATTAAGGGGCCTTGAAAGCCCAAGTATATCATAATGAGGTACATGGACCCGTGGGGCCAGGTTCCCCCGCGCCCCATTAAGTCCTGAGCAAACAACCCACAACCTGCCCTAAATCGCCCCTACTCGAACCTCACGACCAAACATTATGCCCACCAAGCCCGATCTTCAGACAATTGAGGGATTTTGCCCAGTGGCTTCTGTCTAAACCGAACCCCAAGCCCCCAAACCCCCCAACCCTCACCCTGAGAATCCCAGGTCGCGAGTTCCGCCACAGCATCAGCGCAGAGCTGCAACCAGGCGTCCGGGCTTTTGAGCGTTTGGGGAGTGAGGAATTCGGGGGGCGGGGGCTAGGGAGCCTAGCACACAGCCGAAGCCTAAGCAATTCCCAGCAGTACCCCGTATAATGTTGGACTCGGTTCAGTATCCAGGGATCCTCCCCCCCCCCCCACTCAACCAAACAATTTTGGGGTTTTGGGGATCCTCGATAGGCTGGGACGGGGGCTGGGGGTAGGGCGGCGAGGGGTCGAGGGTGTAAGCTTTCCAGGCTTTGTAGCTCCCTGGCCAGGGGAGCTGCGGATTAGTGCGGGTAACCGAAACAATTTACTAAAAGCGAATCAGGGCAGCTCGTGGGCTACTCCCTTGGAAAATTGTTTGGGCCCCTGTTTCGGAATTAAATTTTTAAAAGGAATTTAAATAAAGCTGGACACCAGAAAATTCCGGAGTTTCTTATTCAACACTTTTTTAGTTTTTGGCTCCCCGGCCCCCGCCCTTCATTCCCGGCAAGGCAACATCGCATAATTGAGGACCACCCTCAATGGGGGGGTCCCCTAGAAGTTTTCGGGAAAAACGCTTAATAGCGGCCCCTCCAATTACACCGAGTGCAACATTACAGAAAGACAACAGCCTCCCGTCAGTGCCCCCAAACCCTAAACCCCTAAACCCTAACGCCAGGGCTTTACAGATCCTATCCTAAACCAGCCCAAAACCCTCATCCCTAAGCCCTAAGCCCTCAGGTGAGTACACGGTTCTCTTCATCATGGAGATGCCTGCAGGCTCCTGGGAGGGGCTCGCCTTTTAGAACCCTTGCGGTTTAGGGCCTAGGGTGTGGAGTTTTGGGGTTTAGGCCTGTGGAGTTTCGGGCTTAGGGTGCGCAGCATCGGTTGTTCAGGCTTTTGGGGCCTCCTTCTTGAAGGGTGCTGTACACTTTTTTGGGAGAGATCTTCTTCTCATTCTCAAGTCGACAAAAAAAGAAGACCGCATGTCTGACCACATTTTTTGTTGACCCCTCGAGGGTTTTATAAGCCTTGAGCGTCGAACCGAAGGTGGTTTAGGGTTTAGGGTTTAGGGTTTAGGGTTTAGGGTTTGGGGTTTGGGGTTTGGGGTTTGGGGTTTGGGGTTTAGGGTTTAGGGTTTAGGGTTTAGGGTTTAGTTCAGGGTTCAGGGTTTAGGGTTTCGGGTTTCGGGTTTCGGGTTTCGGGTTTGGTGGCACAAGACTCACACTTCTGTTGTGCCAATGCCCGAACAGTTTTGTGCCATTTTGCCCACGATTGTTTGCGTTAACTGCCTTGGGATGTTCCCCCTTGTACTAACAGTCCTGAATAGGGATTAGAATCGCGCGTACTATCATCCCGATTAAGACTGTTAGTATAAGGGGGAACATCCCACTTTTGTTGCACGCAAATTTTGTGCCGAATTCTCACGATGTTGTGCCATGCCCATTGACTTGTTTGCCACGCCCAAAAATAGATGTGGGGAGGAGGGTTTAGGGTTTAGGGTTTAGGGTTTAGGGTTTAGGGTTTAGGGTTTAGGGTGTAGAGGGCGTAGCTTGTAGCAAGAAGACTGGCGAGGCGGGCTGCGCCCCTGCGCGTCAGTGTTGCTGCTCGGTGGCTTCTACTTGCAGGTTCATGGCACTTGTGAACCAATTATAGCTGTACTTGTAACCATATTCACTTAAGGGCTTGTAAGTGGGGGACTTAAGGGGCTTATAAGTGGGTTATAAGTACTATTATAATTGGTTAATCGGTACCATGAACCTCCAAGTTAGGCTTCAGTGTTGCAGGGCCTCTCTGAAAGCATCTGCGTAGCGATGATCAGGAGCCTTCTCGACCCGCCTGATGAAACCTTGTAACCCACTTATAAGCCCCTGAAGTGAATTTGATTAGAAGTACTGTTACAATTGGTTCACAAGTACCATGAATCTGCAAGTAGAAATATGAATATTTGCAGCCCGCAACCTTACTGGCAATGACTGGTCAAGAAAGGTTTGATTTGAATACATGTGGTTTAGTTGCTGTGTGTTGGGGACACGGAGCAGTACAGGATCTCATGAGGAAGGTGTAGCTTGCAGGAGGTCGCTAAACTCTAAACGCGAAACTGCAAACCGCAAACTGCAAATCGAGAGCCCTGAACCCTAAGCCGCACAAGCCCTCAGCCCTAAACTTCCCAAACCCTGAGCCAACTCAGTATTTCGCTCTTTGGCCTGGAGTGGACGTATCTTCGGGTTCAACCCACAGCCTCATAATACAGGGGTCGGAATATTCACTAATAGTATTCCCTTATGGTCCCTTGATAATTGTACTATAATGACCACAACAAAACCCGGTTCTAATTTTTACGGCCCCTGTACCAAGGCTCAACTTAGCCCTGGAGCCCAAGACGGAGGTGCTTCTGTCGAGGGTTTCGTGTTCAGGGGTTCAGGGCTTAGGTGAAATGTAGCAGTTTAGCAATGTACCCTAAACCCTACACCCTACACCCTACACCCTACACCCTACACCCTACACCCTACCCCCTAAACCCTAAACCCGAAACCCGAGACCCGAAACCCTAAACCCTAAAGCTAAACCCTAAACCCTCAAAATCCTAGATCCGAATCCCGAAACCATAAACCCTACTTGGAGGTTCATGGTACTCACTATCCAATTATACCTGTACTTATCACTGTACTTATAACCATATCAGGGCACTTACGGATCTTGTATGTGGGCTATAAGCACAGCTATAGTTGGTTAATAAGTATCATGAACCTCCAAGTACTTCAATTCAGGGGTTCCCTTTAAACACCAGTAACTTCACATGGCTTAGGGGTTGTGTGGAAGCCTCCAGGTGTTTTTCGGCGATAAGGCTCAGGTGTGTTTTTTCTGGGAGGATGACGTTTCGGTTGGCGTGGCTCCTGTAAACCTAATGAGGCAAGAACGACTTAAGGCCCCTAAACCCTGAACCTATAGGGAGTACACAAAATACCCTTTATGCCCCTATGTGTCACCACCGGCGCCGAGATCTCTAACTCACCCAGACCCTCCCAATTGCTGAACCATGAGAACCCTACAGCCCGAAGCTTCCTCGTTACACACCATTTTAGGGATGGTTGGGAGGTCTAAAGCACCCTAGACCTTAAGCCCCAAACCCTAAACCGCAAACTCCAAGATTCCTGGTTTGGAGTGTTTTTTTATATGTACTCCTTCTGGGGTTTAGGGTTTAGGGTTTAAGGTTTAAGGTTTAGGGTCTAGGGTCTAGGGTCTAGGGTTTTGGGTTTAGGGTTTGGGGTTTAGGGTTTAGGGTTAAGGGTTAAGGGTTTTGGGTTTAGGGTTTAGGGTTTAACCCCAAACCCTAAACCCCAAACCCCAAACCCCAAACCCTAAACCCCAAACCCTGAACCCTAAACCCTGAAGCCCCAACCCCCAACCTAAACTGGAATTCCCTTTTTTAAGGTTGGGGTTTCCTCATAAGCTCCTTTATGCCAAAAAGGTATCTTTTTCTTCCTAGGCTACTCCTGGGTCTGGCTCAACCCTAAGTTGCCCTAAACCCTAAGCCCTAAGCCCTAAGCCCTAAGCCCTAAGCCCTAAACCCTAAACCCTAAACCCTAAACCCTAAACCCTAAACCCTAAACCCTGAAGGAGTCGGGGTCCTGCCCTTCCTACGACCGGAATGGCATCCTCGACCTCCAGGCTCTGGGTTCGTTGTCGGGTTCTTAAGGGAGGGCGGCTCATGGAGGGTTTAGGGTTTAGAGTGTAGGGTTTAGGGTTTAGGGTTTAGGGCTTAGGGCTTAGGGCTTGAGGGTTGAGGGTACCTAGGGAATCTTAAGGGAAGCTTCGGGAGCCTTAGGGAGTAGTGGGGAGTATCAGAACCTTTTGATGGTTTCGGGTTTAGGGTGTGGAACTGGGTGGGTGGAGGGGGTGGAGATTTGCGCAGCAGGTTGCGCTGTTCCAGGCTTGACGGTGTTTGCCGGGCTTTGCCGGGCCCCCAAACCCTGAAGGGGCTCCTAAACCCTAAACCCTAAACCCTAAACCCTAAACCCTAAACCCTAAACCCTAAACCCTAAACCCTAAACCCTAAACCCTAAACCCTAAACCCTAAACCCTAAACCCTAAACCCCTAAACCCTAAACCCTAAACCCTAAACCCTAAACCCTAAACCCTAAACCCTAAACCCTGAACCCTAAACCCTAAACCCTAAACCCCGAGACCCTTAAGACCAACCTTTAAAGCCCCTGAAGCCCGAAAGCCTCAACCCCAAGACCCCCAAGCCAGGATCTTGCCTTGGGATGTTCCCCCTTGTACTAACAGTCCTTAATCGGGATTATAGTACCCCCTAAACCCTAAACCCTAAACCCTAAACCCTAAACCCTACACCCTAAACCCGATTATAACATGTGCTAAGGAGTGTTTGTCTAGGGGGCAACATTCCAAATCTTGCCCTTTAGTCTGAAGACGTTGTCAGGCATCGCGTTCAGGATTTAGGGGCTATAGGGTTTAGGGTTTATAGGGTTTGTAGGGTTTATAGGGTTTATAAGGTTTATAGGGTTTATAGGGTTTATAGGGTGTATAGGGTAGGGTGTATAGGGTGTATAGGGTGTATAGGGTGTATAGGGTGTATAGGGTGTATAGGGTGTATAGGGTTGAGGGGCCAGCCCTAGCTTTTCTTGATGGCTTCAAGGGTTCACCGGGGTTTAAGGCTGACAGGATTTGCAGGTTTTGTAGGGCTTGTGTCAACGTATGAAGGCTCGTACCCCTAAGGTTGTACCCCTAAAGGTCCTTTTAATATACTCCTAAGACGGCCCTTCTACTCCCTTAGGGATCCTTAAAAAGGGACCCCAAAGCCTAGATAGTGGGGCTGAGAGGACGTGTAGGGTTTTACATAGGATCTAGAGCTTTCTAGGGTTTAGGGTTCTTCGCTGCAGCATTTGGGCCCAGAGACCGGATCCCGCGGGGCAGCCGATCCGAGTTCGCCATGTTCGCAGACTTTCCGGCAGCTGCTCTACTTCTGGCGCAGTTTGAAACCAAGAACACCTTCCTCCACTTCCGTGACGAAGAAGCTGAGAAGGACCGGCTCAACTCTAGGATCAGGGTCCACCTCCCCCACTGACCTCAACGGACCGGCAGACTTCTCCGCTGCAGCCTTTCAATTGCAATAAAGTCTCATCATGACTTGGAGGGGAGAAACCCCCCAAAAGAAAGCAAGCCATAGGCACCAAAAGATTTCACCAAGACGAGGAGGTTCTAGCCAAGCTTTGCCCAAGACAAGGGTGCTCGCCTTGAAGCCCCCCTTGGCCTCGCTCACTATGAGCAAAGAGTTTGCCCCCCCATTTGAAGCAGCTTCCTCGCATTTTCGGCTCATATGTTTAGGAAAAGATGTTCTCCATATCTGCCCCCTCCAAGCGGGGAAATGCTCCACGCTCCGTGTGAGGATACAGCGTCTACTCTCAGGAGGAGCAGCTCGGAACCCGACGTTCATACAAGGATGCGGCTGGGCGCCACCATATCAGATTATCATAGTTGCAAGCTACCAGTCTGCCCCGGGAGGAGGAACTTGCTCCCCCCGGAATGTGGACACGCAGTTTTGGGGTTGGGGGGGGTATCAGGCAGAGCGGTTCATGGTCTACGGCTGCCCCAATCCTCACACCCACTCGAATACTCATCATAGTAGCGCTGTCGAGAGCCTTTGAGGCTTGTGCATGGCTACCCACCAGCAAAATTAGGGTTTGCGGAAATCTCGACCGGTAACCTACTGGGGTTAGGGTTTAGGTTTAGGGATTCCGGTTCGGGTTTAGGGGGTGGGGGTTCAGGGTTCAGGGTTCAGAGTTTAGGGTTTTAGGGTTGAGGGTTTAGGGTTTAGGATTTAGAGCTTTTTGAAACCTGCTGTTGTAAGGCAACCGCCGTGAATCCGGAACTTCGACTCTGACGTAGTTTCGGCCCTCGTGCCCAGAAGTGTGTTTGGGAGTTCGCGTAAACCCTAAACCCTAAACCCTAAACCCTAAACCCTAAACCCTAAACCCTAAACCCTAAACCCTAAACCCTAAACCCTAAACCCTAAACCCTAAACCCTAAACCCTAAACCCTAAACCCTAAACCCTAAACCCTAAACCCTAAACCCTAAACCCTAAACCCTAAACCCTGCCAAGAACTGGCGTCTGTCATCCGGATTGGCACCTTGTGATCTTCCCAAAGTTGGCTTTGGCATGCGCCTCCCAATGTTTTCCATCGGGCAGAAACATTTGGGTGCCTCCTGTTATGATTCCCCAACCCTGCCCAGTGGTACTGTACCCTTTCCCTTTTTTTGGCTCAAGGTTTATAAGTAACCAACCCACAGAAGGGTGCCCTTACTAAAAGAGTCCGTTTCGTATGAAAATGTGGTTACTGGGCTACAAAGAAACCAGACTTGCTAAGTCCAAAGGTCCTCCAAATAACCCCCCACACGGCTAGGACTGCAGCTTTGATCGGTCCAACGGACTGGGCGGCGGATGAGGCAAATTCATGTCTTCCAACCGACTCTTAGCTTCAAGGGTTTGTAGAGTTTAGGGTTTCGGGAGTGCGGGGAGTTCAGGGGTTTCGGGCGGGACTTAAGTGACTTAGCGTTTTGAGAACTTTGTTTGGAATGCCTTTGAGTCGCTTCTGAAGAAAAGAGAATGAGAACCTTCAAAGACAGGCATTTGCAGTTTTCGGGCTTCTCTGAGGCTTCTCTGAGGCTTCAGGGTTTCAAGGTTCGTGGTTTCAAGTTGCAGTCGCTCACAACCCGGGCCCCCTGCAACAGCGAGGGGATCAAACAAGAACTCACATAGAGATCAAGTAGAACAAACATCAAAAGTCGAGATCAACTTCATAATGAAATAGAGGTCAACAACAAAAACCCATTTTTTTGGGAGGGAGGACGTGTGGAACAGAGGCAAACCCAGGGAGGCTTTGCAGGGTCTTCTTGCTTGCAGGCTCGACATGGGCAGTTCTTCAAATTGTGGGTCCCTTTTGAGGTCCTTCAGGGTTTAGGGTTTAGGGTTTGGGGTTTAGGGTTTAGGGTTTAGGGTTTAGGGTTTAGGGTTTAGTGTTTAGGGTTTAGGGTTTATGGTTCAGGGTTTAGGGTTTAGGGTCTAGAGTTTAGGGTTTAGGGTTTCTGTATATAGTACCACAGAAGGACCCCAAGAGGGACCCTAATTTAGAGAACTACCCGCATACTGGCAAACGAAAGCATGTTATGCCAATTCGCAGACGGCGCTTTTGCAGCGGCAAAGGCATGAATGACAGCATGCCTGCCCATTCAGCCTAAACCCTAAATTTAGGAGCCTCCGGCTCAGGCCGCCGACCCAAGAGGCCCGAAACCTCTCAACCCTCAAAGCCGGAAATTGTTGTTACCCTAAAGCCTAAACGCTAAACTCGACACCCTAAACCCTAAACCCTAAACCCTAAACCCTAAACCGCTAAACCAGGAGTCCTCCAAAATCTGGCACGATGTGCCGTGGTCCCTAAGCTAAGCTGCAAGCCCAAACCCCGAACGCGAGATACGAGTCGATCCTACTGGCAGCCTGACTTATGTCCTGTCTACCAAGGTCCAGTCTGGAGGGGCGGGTGGGGGGGTGCGGTGTGGGCGGGGGCGCTGCGGTAGAAAAAGGGGGGGGGGGGGGGGGGGGGGGGGGGGTGGGCACCCAAAAGGAGAAAAGTTGGGTGGATGCCTGCGTAAGCAGGGGGTGGGAAAAAATAGAACAACCCAACCTTTCTGGTTGTGGTGGCTCCAACTTCAAAAAATGCCGCCGCAACGTATGCTGCCCCCTCACACCCCCTGAGGGTGTTGGGGCGCCCTCTCCGCATGAAATTGTCTGCCGCGACGCGGCGAGAAGCCCTAAACCCTAAACTCTAAACCCTGAACCCTGAACCCTAAACCCTAAACCTTGAACCCTAAACCCTAAGCCCCAAACCCTAAACCCTAAACCTAAACCCTAAACCCAGACTCCAGGTGCGGTAGAAAGAGACACAGCGTTTCTGCCACATCACAGACTTCGAAGACGCCCCCCCCACCCACCCACCCGGTTTGAAAGAGCGTCAGGTACAGCCCTTACCTCAACAAGCGTGAGCTAAACAGAAGGTACTTGGAGGTTCATGGTACTTATTAACCAATTATAACTGTACTAATGACTGTACCTATAACGATACTAGGGCACTTAAGGGGCTTATTCTAAGTACCGTTATAATTGGTTACTAAGTACCATGAATCTCCAAGATAAGTATAAGGATGGAGGAGAAGAGAATGAATGAAGGAGGCGAGGAGTCACGCTGCAGCAATGTACAGACATACTTGGTAGTTATAGGGTTTTGGGTTTCGGGTTTAGTGTATTAAGCCCACGAACCAACCGTGGACTCCCCTAAGCAAGGAAGGCTCCTCGTTTGTCAACAGGAATCCTCATGTGATATGAGTAGCACCCCAAGGCCACAGTGGCTGCGGCACAGGACGACTCAACGTCGGCCAGTGGCACTTATACAGAGGACTTCCGACAAAGGTTGACATGTCCCATGTTGGGTTCCTAGCCCTGGATGAACGGTTAATATTATGTGCGGTTATGGGAGATTATTTGTGACCGCTAATATCGCTCTCGTTTCACTCACAAATGCAGTTAACAAAGGAGCTTTGGGGGAGAGAGCGGTCAATTTCTCTATTTTACGGGGTTTTGGAGGAGTTAGTGATT